TGATCCGTCAAAAATTGGAAATTGAAATTTTGCTGCGTCGATAGTAGTTATTGATTCTGTATTAGTTGACATTGTCGTTTTAGATCTTGTATTCATAATTTTAAGCACAAATAACCAGTCCAGGCATTTCTGTAGCAGAGTGTTAAGGTAGTATCCAAATAAGGCACAGGACTTCACTTTTTACTATTCCCTATTTTTATTTCAATTTCAGAAGCAGATGAATATTCGTTACTAAATAAGATTACTTTAAATTTATTGCGGCATAGATGAAAGGAAGAGGGGGGCAGCAGCTTATGTTCTAACAGCACAGGGAGAGGGAAGCTTCTGTTCGCAAAATGGTGCGCATTCATTATTTATACTAGCTGTAATAGGCTGGATTGTTCTCGAAGGTACTGGTCTAGGGGGAAGATCCTAAATTGCAGAAAGTTAATTAGAAGTTGCTTGTTCGCGTAGAGCAAAGCCGTCGTATTTTTTTAATATTTTACATACATATATATATATATATATATAGAGAGAGAGAGAGAGGAGAGAGTATGCCCAGGGATCTACACGTCTTTTATTTTCACAACCATTGGTCATAGACCTATATTTCTAGTTACAGAAATGTTTTTAAAGGATGCAAAGATTCATAGTTTCTTATTTTTTAGTTAAAAATATATTTTATAGAAATTGCAAAATGTCATTTTTTATATGGTTCCTTGTCCCTATACTTATATTTTGGAACATTCTATACTGATTATAAAATGCACAATACAAAAAGTTTGTCTCCGATATGATGAAAATTGTGTGAGATATTTTCAAATTTGTTTTCCTGACATCATTTTCAACTAGCCTTGAAGTGTCAATGAATTAAATCATGCGAGACTGATTTTTTCCTCTCTCTTAAATACCATTCAGTAATATTCTTTTGTAATTTATTAGTGTGTAATATTCTTTAATTTATAGTTTTGTTACAACTGGTATTTTGAAAGAATTTTCACTCAAATAATTTGATAAGATGTCTTTTTTTTCCTTGGGGGGTGAGAAAAGAAAATATTGATAAATATTTTTCATGATTATACGCACAGAAATGTTTATCACTTAGCGTCTTAACTTGAGAAGTCTTTTTTTCCTAAACTGATAGTATTATATTGTTAATGAAGTACAAATGCAAAACTTTCCCTTTTGCAGTTTGTGTGTGGCCTCTGAATATGTTATCCAACTTTAAATATCTTTGTCAATTTTAGTCATATTGGAGTCTAACATAAATGTGAGGGACCAAGGGATGTATAAAAATTTAGATTTTATAATTTTTTGCAAAAAGTAATTTAATTCTTTAAAAGATGTCATCTGAATATTTGTTTTATTTAAAGCATTTTTAAAGAAAGTTTGTCTACAACCAACATGTTGAAAATAAAAGCAAGATAAAAACTTTTATGGACACTATGTGTGTATATATATAAATTTCTGTTACTTGGAGATGAGATATGAAAAACCTTTTCTAATAATAAATTATATATATATATAGGGTAATTAAAAACTAGAGGAACAAGCTTCTAGGAGATTCCATAGCAATGCACGTTCAGAAATGCAATTCTAATGAGATAAGGGGGTTGCTAGAGGCTGGTGCAAAAAAAGTGTTGACACCTACCTGGAAGATGGAAAATATCAATATATCATAATCACAAACGGGCATTTAAAGACTGCAAGCTTAAAATAAGTCATGACTTCACTGGTAATGAAGGTACTCGAAGTTTTGTAATGTGGGTACCACATGGAATCTTGGATGTTTTGAAATATGCCTGGCATCTGTCAGACATTTACAATAGCCACAAAGATGTGTCATTTCAAAGCACTGTGTGCATTTAAAAACGTTTGAGATTCTGTGCTTAATGCCTTGTTATGAAATGTCAGGAATCTTCATCAGCAGGAAAGTCGGGATTTATTTCATGGTCTTTAAATGCCAATATGTGATTCTATCGTAGAACCTCTGTGGATGGCTGTTGATTGTTTCTCTGTGACAGCCTTTAATATCCCCCCCCCCAAATCTCGTTAGGATTGCATTTCCGACTCTGCATTGCTACGGGATTCCGAGTCATTTAGGTGTTCCCTACTCCTCCTAGAAGTTTATCCCTGTAGTTTTGAATCATTCTGTGTATATGTATACACAGATGGTGTTCACACATTTTTGTAACGATTTTGATTTCCCCCTGAGTATAAATATTAATTTTAAAATATAAACGTGGTTGGCATCCAATTGGAATAAGGTTTAATTATTGTCTGCAACATTAAAAGTTTTCTTTTCTTTTAAATGTTGCTGAAAAATAAGCAGTGGATCGAAGGCTATATTTTTGTGTTATCCAAAGAGAAATACTCTTATCCAGTTATTAAAAATGATGTCAAAAGCATGGCCTTAATATTTCTACACATAAACTAAGTGTCATAATTAATATGAAAGGAAAAAACATTAAAGTTTACACCTGACTGAGAAAAAGGCAAAAAACGCATATCCAACAAAAGTACATACAACTTTTATTAAATCTAGGATTGGATAGGATTATTCAATTATGGCAAAGCACATGGGGGCTATCTGCCTAAAGGGAAGGATGCCTTCGTCGAGGACTTTCTAAGGGAAACTGGCTCGTATACACGTTGCACATGGGGAAAACCACGAAAACTCCCATGCAGCCAGCCCGTTCGCGGGATTAGAACCTCGGACCGAACTACCAGTGTTCAGTGTCTTTACCGCTCGGCCGCTGGTGGGCCCTTTATTAAATCTAGTGTCGACTCTCATGCTTTAAAGAAAATCCAGCTATTGCAAAATCTTTAAAAATTTTTGTAGGAACAGTGAACAAAATTAAAAATCGGATTTAAAGTTAATCAAAACAAAACAAAAAAAAAAAAAAAAAAAAAACATGATGTTCATTGCCTATTGGCCAAAACATGTTTCTCGGTGTAAGACTATGGGCAGATTGCTGTATGAAATTATTTGGCAAGTGAAAACTGGAAATATATAGTTGCAACTTATCTTGGATATACTTATTTGATTGCAATAGAAAAGATCGATTTACGACCGAAAAAGAGGAGAAAAAGACTTCGAAAATATATTAGTTCAATTAGAAAGAATATATTAGTTCAGAGAAAACAAGGGAAATTTTTCTAAAGGTTTAATGGTTATTCCTGAATTCTCTTATAATGGAAAACTTAAAATAAGGAAAGTAGAAAAAAATATCAACATTTAATTCGGATTATTATCAAAATTATGTTTTAACACATATTTTTAAAGAAGAAATTCATCTGTTTATGCCAACAATCTTCACTGTGTTCCATCAGGATAAGGCTCCAGCCATACCTCTGAATCTACTGCAGTATTTTTTGAAAAAACGAGATATGAAAATGGAATTGGAGCTATTCCTCTTAATTGCATTCCAAGGAATTCGTCTGATGTGTTTCCTGTGGACTAATATGCAACTGAACTTTTAAAACAAGTTATTTACAGACGGCATCCCGAAACAGTGGATGGACTCTGGAAGATTGTGAAGGAGGAGTGGAATAAAATCAACCTTGATGTTTTAGGAAAAGGACTTTTGTCTTGGAAATCAAGATGTACTATCAACAAAAGGGCTTTCAGACTGAATATTTTTGAAAATAAAATTCTAAGATTTGTTTATATATAAATCTTTGCAAAATCATTACAAAAATTTGTGAACACCCTCTACGTATGCGTCTGGAAAGAGAGTTAATCATTAAACAGAAGAAAGCACAGTATAGGCATTATTTTTTAAGATATCGATCTTAGGCTTATAATTTTTGTAACAGAATCTCTTCAAATAAGATTCATATTTAAATAAAATCAACTCGAGTCTCTGGAAGATTCTGAGAAATAAAATTTAACTTTTTATATGATTGTCATAGAGTAAACATTCCGATTATTTCATTTGTACTTTAGTTTATTATAGACAAAAAGTTCCTTACCTTTGCGGATAAAATTTTAAATTTTAAATATTTGAAAGAAAATACACTGAACTGAAATTACATTTCACATTTTCATGCCCATTATCAATGCAACTTAAAAGAGTTTTTAGAAATTTTAAGAATCAACTGTTAAACAAAAGTTTTTTTTAATCATTTAGCAATTTTCTCTGTTAGCATTTAGCAAGTTATTGTGTCTTAATTTTCTCTTGGTTTAACCGTGCTCTTTATTAAATTTATTGAATAGATGTTTAAAATATTTATTAAATGCATATGTGCAAATTATGTTTTATTTATATTACAGCACTTAATAATATAATTTTTTAACTCCATTGCAAATCCTATACTGAGAAATACATGTTGAAAAAACTTTTTTCGTTTATATTTCTCGGTATATTCTTCTATTTATTGCAGTATATGCACTTCTACATCTTCAGCAAAAGAAAGTCTATTACATATTCTTTTTCTTCAGTGTCAAGTATTTCAATTTAAAAGGAAATTATATTTTTTTTAAAAAACTTCCAGTTTATATATACGTGTAATTACTTGATGTTGAAATGTGTGGAGTTGGAAAGTCAATTATACATAGAACATTCTTGTAAACATTATATCAAATACAAAACTTAATTTATTAATTTTTTAAACAAAAACTTAATATTGATATTTTTTAACAATTGTAAAATAAATGATCTTGTTCTTTCAAGTAGATTTCCTGCATCCCTAAATTGTGATATGAAAATAGTAGAGAAAGAGAAATTTTAAAATTAAAATATTACATTATTATGTTTGTTTTACAGTTAGCTCCCTTAAATTAATAATATGAACTCTAATGTTTTCGTTTTGTTGTTCAACATCTATTTTTTGTTTTTTTGTTTTTATAAATGAAAATTACATTGCATGCAAAACTAATTAAGCAAAGTACTTTTTGAATAACTAAAAACATTCATGGCTGTATTATGTAGTACTTATATAATGTTAGCAAGAATACTGGTTGCTTCAAAACAGATGTTAATCTGATAAAATTTTGTAAAAGGAGATAAACTACTTACATTTTCATTATCATAGTAATCTTTCCTTTTTGGATTAGTATAGAATATCATCCTGTGAGATCCAAGGCGCCTTGGTTTCGGTTTTTTTGATTTACCCTTTCTTGCGCCTATTGCACTAATCACCAGAAGCAGGATACAAACTAACAGAGTAAATGTGTTCAGCCTCATGATTGTGCATATAGACTTTTCTTTCAGTTTCCTATCTGTGGATATTAAAGCCATAAATTAATATGTACAGATTTTGAAATTTATGCATAATGAATTTTCATTCATAATATAGCTCTTGAAACAAAACATTGGCAATGAACATTTCCACTTTTGGCAATAAATGAAACTCTAGATTCTGAATTTATTATAATTCTAAATCATAATTACTAAGACTAGCCTATAGTTTATATGTCTGTAGTTTATATGTGCACATTATTTAAACCTTAGTTTTACACTGCAATTTCTGAAACTTTTTTGCCATCTAAGGAATTAGAATGGTTTTGTGAGTTAGTAATTAATGTCTTGCCCCAAAACTTGCTGAATGCGGACTGGTAGAATGCAATTTTGCAGTCTTAACTGGACTGGTAGAATGCAATTTTGCAGTCTTAACATATGCATTGTCTTAACTGCCTCCATATAATCTGTCCAATGTGAGATTTTCAATTATACATGGTATGCTGCAGAGCATTGGCCACATTGTGATAGTCCTCGTTAATGACTTGCTTGAAAGTTCATCCATTAAAGACAGGGGTGGGCAGACTTTCCCAGGGCATGGGTTACTTCTAATTTTTTCAAGGTGTTGCTGTCCACCCAGTGTCGTAGATGTAGTGAGCTAAAAAAATGTCTACAATATTTATTATAACTTAATAATAAACTTGCATAACTTAATAACTCAGTATATAATTACTAATTGCTAATCTTACACTGAATTCTAATTAGTCGTCTATGAGACGGGAATGATATGTTGTCTTAATTATATTCATCATTGAAAATGCAGATTCACACGGGTAGGTAGAGCCAAAGAACGATGTTAAATGAAATGCTACTTTTCTTAAATTAGGAGAATTTACTTCGTCCATTAGATTCCAAAAGTTATTCTTAGGTTCTGAACTACATGCTTTTAAAGGAGAAAACATTCATTTTCTTCAAGAGATAAAAGAGAATACATCATTTATATTTTCAGTTATTTCTTTCACACCAACATAGCCAAATGGGTAACACATGAATGTAACTAGTATTAGTTCTAGTTCCCTAGTGAATTCTTCAAAACGTCTCAAATTCGGAGTGAAGTTTTATTATTTCATCATATTATTTCTCTTTGTTTAATGTACACTGCGCGGGGGGTAAAAAAAAAAAAAAAAAAAAAAAAAAAAAAAAAAAAAAAAAAAAAGGACAGTTCTATATTTACCTTAAGTCCAAGGTCTACAAGGCCGATTGACGAAATTCAAACTTGCGTTTTTCATGTCTCGAAAAGCGCGACTTAAGGATATATGTATTAGATTTATATATAGCATTGTATCAATTCAGACATTTTGACACAAAATCAGACTTTTTCTGTAATGACATGCCAATTTTTTTCATATTTCGATTCTAAGACTCAATTATGCCTAAACATTAAATTTTGCAAAATTTGGTACGAAATTTACGGAGGAAATTCAAAAATTTATCTTGGCGTATTTTGCATTTTTTTCAGTAGTTTGCGCCAAGAAAAATTTTCAGTTTGCACTTGGCAAACTTCTTAATTTATACGGCAACCTAATTTTCCTTTTCCCTTTTTACATTGTGCAGTTGAGAGGAAAAAAAGTCACTTTGATGCAATACTTTCAAATAGTTTTTAACAAAGTGCTTATATCGCATTTGGTAACTTATTATCGCTAAAAAAAAAAAAAAAAAAAAAAAAAAAAAAAAAAGAGAGAGCCAGATTTCAAAATGTGCCAATATGTAACTTCTTTTATATCTTAGAACGTTTTGGATAAACTAATTTTTTGCAGGTGTGCCTAGAAATACATCTACTTTAAGAGGATGTTAAAAATTTCTATGTTATGATCCAAAAAGTTTTTTCGAAAAATTTATAAAAAATATTTAAATATGCAAATTTTAAAAAAATCATAAAAATTGTGCAAATTATATTTTGATTAAGCCTAAATTTTGAATTATAGAAGAAGGAATCAAGTTAATGAAAAAAAGAGATATTAATAATATATATATATCAATTTCAATTAACACTGAGAAGCTAAAATTTTGAGAGCTAATTTCTTAAAAACTATTCGTGCGATTATTACAAAACTTGGTAGTGTGGCATAATTTGAGTTGTAGAATCGAAATATGGAAAAAAATTGGTATGTCATTTCAGAAAAGTCTGATTTTGTGTCAAAATACCTATATTAGAATAATGCTATATATAAATCTAAGGCATATCCTAAGTCGCGCTTTCGAGACATGAAACACGCAAGTTGAATTTCTTCAATTGGCCCAGTGGAACGGGAGATATAGAAATGTCCCCCTTCCCCCCCAGTGTACCTCCGTTTTTAAACAAGTCGTCAGAAATACTTTTAAAATTCTTTAATTCATTCTTCATCAACTGGGATGAAATTATCTTTAACTTGTTTTTGAAAGTATTAACAAATCTAATCAATTCTTCTATTGTTTGATTTTTTTTACCTTGCAGTTGTAAGTTCAGTTCAATAAGATGGCTTGTTATATCAACAACAAAAGCTAATTGAATCAACCAAACATCATAACTAAGTTCAACGTATGCTTTATCATTTCATTCCCCCCAAAAAATTTACCGCTTGTAGTAAAGTCCCTAAATCTTTGTAAAAATAATACTCGGACTTAACTAACGAACATCTGCATGATATAGCAATTCCCCGTAATCAGATTCGTTTTGGACCCGAAACGTTCTTCTTTGAAGATTTCTTTGGTATTCTTCTAGTTTTAGTATTTTTCCTCAAAATGAGTTCACAATTTTCATGCAAATTCCCCAAACATGACGCATATGTAGAATTTTACAACAGAGGGCCTGTTGGGGAATAATGCAATGATAAGAAAGGGAATGTGGTTAAGTCAATGTCTGTGATACACATAGCTAAATATACATTGACTATGCTGATCATTGAGGGCACTGAGACTTTATAAATTTTGTTATTGAGACATAAGTTGTCATTGAGACTTTATAAATAAGTCATTGAGACTTTATAAATTGAAAATTTCCTTGAGAATAATAGCTAGAGGAATTCATACAATTTTCCAACATTCTTTCAGATTATTGAAACACCGCTTATAGGCATTGAAACTAACCGTTTACAAAATACGTGTAACATTTGATTTAATATCCAAGATGTTTTTCAAGTCTGTCTCATCTTAAACTCTGAAATCCATCTTAAGCTCTGAAAAAAGGAAAAAGTCAGCTGCCAAAAAGTTGCTAGAATATGGTAAGTAATTTATCACAGTAATTGAATGCTTAGCAAGATATAGTTGTGGAGTTGTGCAGTATAGGGCTTAGCAATGTTGTCTTAAAAAAAAAGTTGCCCTAAATAAAAAAGTTGCATCCTAACTTGTTTTATCCTGTTTCTTAATTAATAATGCTCCTTCTTGTAAAAATAATGATTAATTGATTGATTTTTCAGGAGCAAATTAATAAGTGAATGGTGAATAAGTCCTTTTTAATAAAAAAGATGGCAATCAGCATAACCTTAAGTTCACCCCTTTGCTTCATCGTCAGTGCTTTCATTGCCTTTACTTGGAGCAGTTGTACCACTCATATATTTGTGTTTCTGATAACAGTGCGTTACCATATACTTTTCGAATCATTTTTAACACTTTGTTAGCAGATTTACATAACTTGTAGCAAAATTTAATGTTATAATGTTGTTCCTCTCAAAGCAGATTAACTGTTTGAATTTCAAAGGAAACAGAATTGATAAAAATTTTCACTAGCAAGGTTTTAGGATATTTTAGTTCTAGTTCGAAAGGATATGTTATCTGCACATACTTAAGTTCAAAAGGATATGTAATCTGCACATTATTTAATCCATGTCAATTTGGACCACAGGTCAAGTCTGCCTTCATTCGCTTGCTTTTCATGAATAATCAAAAGCTTAGTTTAAATCAGAGTTTAGTAGTATATATCAATCAAATCAATATTAATCTTAGTAGTAAAGCTTAGTTTCCAAAACGAAAAAGTTTGAATGAGGGAGAATAATTTGATAATAAATTATTTAATAAAGTAATCTCTTTAAAAAATAAGAAATACTAGAAAAATTTTACTGTTTCTCAAGCATGAAACTGAATTTCAGCGAAATTTTCTCCGCGGTTGGATCATACATCTGTGAGAAAAGTTCCAGGACAATTTTTAAAAAAAAAATTTATTTTTGAGTTTGCAGTACTAAAAAGGAACAAATGCTGTTTTTATGTTACCTGTTATGTATTCTTGACAAGACCTAGGCCATGTTTGTTGTTCCCTTTAGAGATTTTGGGGCAAAATATCTGTAGACATTTTATCCCAGTTTCTTACATTGTTGGCAAATTCCACAAGCGGATATTTTAAAATTAATTTTATGACCAAAAATATTACGATTTGTTTACAAAAACCATTGGAACTTTGAATACGACAAAAAGGATGCATACGAAAATGGGGACATTACTTGACTGAAGGATTGCCTGAAAAATTGTTATGTAAATGGTTGGTAAAGTTTTTCACTTTCTCAAAATCTGGCGATTTTCTGCTAAGGTGATTGCGAATTACGCGTAAGTACCCGTATTTCTTTCTAATTTGTGTCGCTAATAACTGACTAACCGCTTACTGAACCTGTTCCAACAACGCAACGTGTATGTTTTAGAAATAAATACAGTGAAACTTCTTATGACAGTTTTGTCTAAAACTGCACTTTTTCCAAGGACCACATCACAGAGGACTGAAGAAGCATTTTGCTAACAGAGAGTCGTCTACTATATTTATGGTGAGATTTATTTTAGAATGCCTTTAGCATTGTCACAGTTACTTCAATCACACCCCCTTCGAAGGGTGTCTTCCTCTTTCCGCGGTTGTCAAAATCATTCCTGTTTCCGCGAAATCATCAATCCTCATTAACCCCCCTTCCCAAAGGGTTATATAATGGGGGGCCGAGGGGGACCTTGGCCTCTCTCGAAAGGTAGAAAAGCAAATTTTTTGTTAATTTAAAAAGAAAAATTTTTTAAAGAAATAATCGA